ACCTCTCATGTCACCTTCCAAGATTGGTTTGGAACCGCCAAAGCACAAGCACATCTTATAATTCCCTTTCAAATATCTGAGAATCCACTTAACAACTTCCTAGTGGTCCTTCACTGGATTAGAGAGAAACCTGCTCACCATACCTATTGCATGAGCAATATCTGGTTGTGTGCGCACCATTGCATACATGATACTTCTTACCGTTGAAGAGTAGGGAACAACTACCATTTTCTCCTTTTTCTTCATATGTTTTTTGACACGACTCTTTGCTCAACTTGATATGATTAGCTAAAGGTGAGCTTACCGGTTTGGCTGCTTTCATGTTGAACCTTTCAAGCACTCATTCAACATACTTTTCTTGTGACAGCCAGAACTTCTTAGATTTTCTGTCACGAATTATCTCCATGCCCAAAATCTACTTGGTTGGCCCTAAGTCCTTTATGTCAAAGGACTTAGATAACTCTTCTTTGAGCTTTTTAATCATAAAAGCATCTTGACCAACAATCAACATGTCATCAAAATAAAGCAATAAGATGATGAATTTACCTCCAGAAAATTGTCTGATATAGACACAAGAATCAGCATAAGTTCTCTTGTACCCATTACTCACCATGAATGAGTTGAACTTCTTATTCCACTGTCTCAGAGCCTGCTTAAGACCATATAAGCTTTTCTTTAGCTTGCACACCAAATAGTATCTCGTATTCTTTACCTTTGACTTCAAAGCCTTTGGTTTGCTCCATGTATATCTCATCTTCTAAATTGTCGTCGAGAAATGCAGTTTTAACGTCTAACTGCTCGAGCTCAAGATCCATGCTTGCTGCCATACCAAGGATAACTCGAATAGAAGTCATCTTCACCACTGGTGCGAAAATCTCATCAAAGTCAACTCATTTCTTTTGACCAAAACCTTTGACAACCAAATGAGCCTTGTACCTTGTCATGTTGTTGTCTCTTTTCAATTTAAACACCCACTTGTTTTTCAATGCTTTTCTACCCTTTGGAAGCTCCACCAACTCATAGGTATCATTCTTTAATAAGGAATCAATCTCTGACTCCATTGCCTTCATCCATCTATCACTATCGTTATGGGCTCTAGTCTCCTCATAAGTTCCGGGTTCTCCATAATTAGTCAAATGATATACTCTGATGAAGAATACTTGGTAGACTGTCTTCAATTTCTGCTAGATCTTCTGACTTGGTCTTCATTCTCTTGTGGGGCTGAAGGCTCCCTCTGATTAGGTTCCCTTTGAATCTGCTCTTCAGGCTTTCTTTGATCAGCAATTTCATGGTCTGGCTCATTTTGATCAGGCTTCCCTTTATCAACATTATCCAGTTATGCAGGCACTTCATTGGCAGCTGTTTTAGGGATGTCACCGTGACTTTCTTCATCTGAAACTAATGGATCGACTCCTCTGACTGCGCCATCTGGTTATGCCTCTTTATCCAAATCCCCAATTGTTTGATCTTCATAAAAGATCACATCTCTGCTTCTGATAAACTTCTTCTGGTATGGGTCATATAATCTGTAACCAAAATCTTCACCGCCATAACCAAGACAGATGCACGGTGTAGCTTTATAATCTAACTTCGATCTCTGCTCTTTGGGCACATGTACAAAAGTTTTGTAACCAAACACCTTCAGATGAGAGTAAGACACATCATTACCAGTCCATACTCTCTCTGGAACATCAAGACCTAATGGTACTGATGGAGATCGGTTGATCAAATAGCTGACTGTCCTTATAGCTTCACCCCAAAACTGCTTAGATAACTTTGCAATCCTCAGCATACACTTGGCTGCGCCATTTAGTTATGCCTCTTTATCTAAATCCCCAATTGTTTGATCTTCATAAAAGATCACATCTCTGCTTCTGATAAACTTCTTCTAGTATGGGTCTCATAATTTGTAACCAAAATCTTCACCGCCATAACCAAGAAAGATGCATGGTGTAGCTTTGTAGTCTAACTTCGATCTCTGCTCTTTGGGCACATGTACAAAAGCTTTGCAACCAAACACCTTCAGATGAGAGTAAGACACATCATTACCAGTCCATACTCTTTCTGGAACATCAAGACCTAATGGTACTGATGGAGATCGGTTGATCAAATAGTTGACTGTCCTTATAGCTTCACCCTAAAACTGCTTAGATAACTTTGCAATCCTCAGCATACACCTGACTGCGCCATTTGGTTATGCCTTTTTATTCAAATCCCCAATTGTTTGATCTTCATAAAAGATCACATCTCTGCTTCTGATAAACTTCTTCTGGTATAGGTCTCATAATTTGTAACCAAAATCTTCACCGCCATAACCAAGAAAGATGCATGGTGTAGCTTTGTAGTCTAACTTTGATCCCTGCTCTTTGGGCACATGTACAAAAGCTTTGCAACCAAACACCTTCAGATGAGAGTAAGACACATTATTACCAGTCCATACTCTCTCTGGAACATCAAGACCTAATGGTACTGATGGAGATCGGTTGATCAAATAGCAGACTGTCCTTATAGCTTCACCCCAAAACTGCTTAGATAACTTTGCAATCCTCAGCATACACCTGACTGTCTCCATGATGGTTCGGTTTATTCTTTCAGCAACACCGTTATGTTATGGAGTTCCAGGAACTGTCTCCTCATGACGTATGCCATGTTTCACATAATACTCTCTAAACTGGTGAGATGTGTACTTGCCGCCGTTGTCGCTACGAAGGCACTTGAAAGGTTTCCCAGTTTCCCTCTCCATCATGGCATGGAATTCCTGGAAGGTCTGAAACACCTGGTCTTTGGATTTCAACAAAAACACCCAGACCCTTCTTGAAGCATCATCAATATAAGTAACAAAATATTTATTTCTTCTAAGTGACTCGACTTTCATGGGACCACACACATCTGAATAAGCAAGATCTAACAAATTTCCTTTCTTTGTAGATGGAACAGAAAAACTAACTCTTCTTTGTTTGCCGAATAAACAGTGCTCACAAGAGTTTAACGACGTACCTTTGGCAAAGGGAATGTGAAACTTCTTTGCCAGAACTTGTAGGCTCGCTCATGTGGCCTAGCCTCTTATTCCATAGGTCTAGAGATGAGTCTTCCACAACATTCAACTCACCTTTCAAAACCTTGCCATTTGACCGGTATAACGTACAACAAAGTCATGCTCTTGCTACCATTAGTAAGCTTTAATTTTCCTTTGCCAATATGGTGATAATAACCTTGTCGATTAAGGGTACCGATGGATATCAGATTGAGACGTATATTAGGAATATGTCTCACATCTTTCAAAGCCACCTTCTTTGTATGTAATGAAGAACTCCCGTTTGGATATAGCATGGAAGGAAGCTCCATTGTCAAAAATCCATTCAATGTCTCTGTTAGAATCACCCATATGCAGACATTCACCAACAGACAATATTTCTAGTACATCACCACATATGACAGCGGTGGTATTGCTAATATCATCTTTCTTCTAATTGTTTCCTTCCTTTTGCTCTCTCTTCCAAACTCAACAACAATTTTTCTTCATATGGCCTTCTTTGCTACAATGATGGCATGCACCCCTGAACCTTGACTTGGATCTGCTAAGACTCCTGCCACGACCTCTAGGCCCTCTACTCTTGCTTTTTCCGCGGTTCTTTGTGACAAATACTTGGCTGCTATCTGTGCCAGAAGTCTTTCTCCTTGTTTCATTGAGCAAGATATTTTTAACATTATCAAGAGTAAGAACACCATTAGGAGCAGAGTTACTTACACTCACCACAAATGTCTCCCAACTATCTAGCAAGGATCCAAGTAACAAGAGCGCTTGCAACTCGTCCTCAATTGTCATGTTCATAGTAGCCAACTGGTTTATGATATTTTGGAAATTATTCAAGTGTTCTGCTACACTTAAACCATCCTTGTACTTCACATTGATGAGCTCTTTGATCAAGAATAAGGTTTTCTTGGCTGGGGTCTTCTTCTCAAACAAGGACTCAAGCTTCGTCCAAAACTCGCAGGCATTGGTTTCATTAGACACATGGTGGAAAACACTATTGTCCACCCATTGTCTAATTGTGCCAATTGCCTTGCGATACATCTTCTTCCACTTGACATCGGACATGCTCTCAGGCTTAGTGGCATCTCCTTTAATTGGCTCATGCAGATCCTTGCAATAGAGAATGTCCTCCATCCTTGGCTTCCATGTTACCCAATTGGAGTTGGTGAGTTTGATCATAGTGCCACTTCCTTCCATCTCGTAGTACGAGCCAACCGGGCTCTAATACCACTTGTTAGGAATGTCGGTACTACAAGATAGAGAATGCACAATGTAAAGTAGAAAATGGACACCAAGAAAGATGTGATTCGGCAATTTATGCCTACGTCCACAGAACAATGATCAATCTTCACTATATGAAAATAATGAGTACAACAAGAGTAGTCTTACCAAGCCAAATACAAGGCTTGATGGATACAAGAAAGTTTAACACACACTTTCTCTCACTCTAAACTTTACTCACACAATGTGTAATGGAACACTCTCACTCTCACTCTTGGAGTGGAACTCTAGCTTTGGACTTGATCCTTTGCTACTCACTACTATGCTAGCAACACCCACACACCTATTTATAGGTGAAAATTGTAGCTTCTAGATCTTTCCATTTGCAACCAAGGAAACTAGTACTCTCTAGCTTCTTTCATCGACTTAATAACATGCTAGAATTGTCTAGCATGCTTCAGCCACCTCTCTTGCTTACTAGAATAGTCTAGAACATTCATCATGGGATAGACCATATACCAACAGATGGATTCCTGAGCGAGGAAGAATTGGAGAGTAAAGTGAGGGAGTTGATGGAGTCGGAAGGAGGGAGAGCGCTTAGAGAAAGGAGCAAGCAAATGCAGAGATGGCAATGGCTGCTTTGGGAGAGACTGGTTCGTAGACTTGAAACTTGGTTAACTTTGTTAATAGCATTGGATAACCAAGTTTTCTTAAACTGCATTCGGATTTGGTAAAAATTATATAAATGAAAACTTATATTATCTCAGAAAAAAGATGCAAACTTGTGGAAGACAGTTATTTGTAGCTCTATTACACATGCCAAAAGTTACAGTTCACTGAGAAGGATGGGTTCTTCTATAACTGAATATGCCGTCTTCATCATATCATGTGCTGTGAATCCATCATGCTTAGCGTAAAACAGGTGCAGCACTTTGCTCATGTTCCAAAACAAATCTTTGCAAGCTCTCGGAACTACGCTACCCTTCTCGAGCAAAACTAATCTTAGCAATTCTCTCCTCTTACTGACTATTACATTCTTCATCTCGTTAATGGCCTCTTCCTCAGTAATGCCGCTGCCATGAATCATGGCCAAGGACACAGCATTTAGCTTCCCTTCTGCAGATTCTCTCTGCAACGTAGCCAAGAGTTAAGAGTTAACAATTTTAGATGGGATACTATTACTTTTATAAAAGGAGAATGGGGGGATGTTGTCTACCTTAAACCCTTGGATATCATTGAGAAGGCGCCCAGCTGTGCTCATAAGTCGATACAGATGAAGGAATTCGGAACTTCCTACAGCCTCCTCTGAAAGCTGAGGCCCAACCAAATAGAGAGCTGGAAGGACAATTGGCCCCAAGGCAAATGATACGTATGCATTTTCCATATACTCCTCCATTGTTGGAACTGACTTGTTTCTCAACCACTCGGCTTCCTTGAAGGCAGACTTGATCAAATCCAACCACTGAAAAATCAAACATAGCTCACTTCATCCCCAGTTAAATGAATAAAGGAAGTTGAACTTAGTAATGAACATTTAAATTTCCTTTACTCTCTTTTCGTGAAGTCAATGAATAGAAAACTCAAATAACGGTCTTATCATTGACCAAACAGACACGACAAGGTACCATCAGAATCAATGTTAAGCGAGTGTTCAGGTTATTGTTAGACACTTCGTGAAAGTGAAGTACTTGAAACATTTTAATTGTTCAGGAGACAGCTAGTGCTTTAAGAAAACATTTTATTATATTCATCACACCCAAACGATGACAAGGACAAATTAAAATATTTCCAACTTACAATCCCTGTAACATGACTTGTCACACTGCGTCCTTGCCGCGTGAATGCCTTGGCTCCAATCTCGTTGATTGTGTTCTTGAGTGCTGAAAATATAATTTCAACATTCTCGGAACAACAATCAACACTCACATTCACATCCCACCTGAAGCCCAAATACATGAAAATTTAAGACCATCATGTCAGAAACAACTAACAAGGACTAGGAGCACAAGCAGGAATTGTTGCTCCAACAGAAATAAGAAACAAATGGGAAAAGGAAACATACTTATCAACCAATTGTATGAGGTTTATCAGTTCCTCTTCGGAACCTCCAACGTCAAAGAAATCATCGACCACAGTTGTAAGGACGCCATTTTTGGCCCATGATATGCGTGCATCTGATAGTTCGGGAGGAAAAAGGGTTGCAGCAGCAGAGAAGTAACAGTATGCCTGCTTCTGCCTAGCAAACTTTAGCTTGTCTAATCTGTACTCCTCAACCCACCTGCTTAGGTAAATTCACAAACAAATAAATTAGAATACTCTGTACTCCTCAACCCACCTGCTTAGGTACTGCACTCTCCTTCACTTTAAAAAAATAAAGATCAGGTGGAAACTCTAGTAACAAGAAGATCGGCTTGGGAGAGAGAGTACTGTACGTACCTAGTAAAATGGTTGAGTTCTTCACGGTGTATAGATTGGCAATTATTGAAGTCATCCACAGCCAGCTTTAGGAAATCTTCATTTCCAATATTCAAACAACTAACATAAGACGAGCGCAAGGAATAATAAGTTATATGCACTGGTCCTTCAGAATAATTCAGAACAAATCAAATTCTTCTTAAAAGAAGCGAAAAGGAAGAAGAGGTGCTGTCGAAGAAAATACTAGAAGTTAACCGATAATAAGATTTTAAAATCCTTGTACTGTCTGTGTTGTAATATTTTATAGCTGTCCTGGTTGACAACCGACCCAAAATTGCGTAGCGAGGAATTTTAAGAGCATCAGCCACCTGAAAACAATAAAAAATTGCTTTATTTTATGAACTATCTTGAGAATATAAGAAATTAAAGGCACCAGATAAATAAGATAGGTCTATCACAGAAAGCTACCTCTAGGCCGATATGCTTATTCAGTCTATGACCCTGAATTAAAGTATTGGATAACTCCTGTTTCAGAAAATGACTCGTCCAGTAATGTTGTTTCTCTAGGACGGATTCATCTGGATGTATGATGGTTTCTGAAGCCCTAAACAATTCTAAGGCATCACCGATGTTCTTCATATACCCTCCAAGGGAATTGAAGAAACGATCTTCTGAATATTGAGTTAATGGATCTAAAAGACAGCATAAATCAGTTGCATTTGTTTTTGCCAAAACAAAGTCATGAAAGCCAAGGTACCCAAAATTGAAAATACCTGCAGAAACATCATATCCATTAACACGTAAGAGTCGAAATGCCATTGCACAAGTGGCAGCATCGGAAAATATATCTTCATCACCCTGCAGCCAGCATCTGTTTGTTGGCTAATGTCATGCTTCCCCATGGATGAAAACTAATAAAATCTCGAAACTGGGGTATACATATATGGGAAAAATTACCTGTATGTTTCATCCAGTACACTTCTAATTTCCTCCCTGAAATGTCGATCAACACCCAAACTTTCAAGACTGGCAACCATAGAAAGACGGACATGTTTATGTAGAGGATAAACCGTTGGAACTGAAAAAGGTTGGTTGAAAACATTGGAAGCTTTATCCTGATGTAGTATAGTAAATAAATACACCTAAAAAATTAATGGAAAATATTGAGTACCAAACCTGCATTCCCAAACTTTTCTAAGAGTGTGCGTAGGTACTTAAGACAATCAGCATTCTTAAGGTGAGTAAAAGCAGAGGCGGTGGTTGCTGGTGAATTAAACAAGGATCCATTCCTCCTTTGATACTTCATGACCAGCTCCCAGTTCTGCGAGCTTCCAAATCCTTCTGAAATATATGCTAAGAACGCTCTCCACCCCTCTGAGTTGCTCGCATAACCTCTAAATAATAACATTTTGAAGCAGAGATCTTCAATTAGAATAATTTAGGATGCAAATCTGTTAGTATAGGAGAATCCGGTTAGGATTCTGTTGGGGTTAGGTTTTGTAAATTCCCATGGGACTAGTTTGTGATATTAATTGAATCAATACTTTACAATTCTACATAGTATCAGAGCTTAGGTTTTCTGTTTCCTGAACCCTAGCCTACAAAAAAAATATTTCTTCCCTTTTCCAATGCATTTCTATTATTCTGACTAGCATATGAACTGATTATATTGCGAATATCCATGATGAAGGAACACTTCGTGAGGTTCTAATAAACAAAGCCAAAGCCACATCTAAAACGGTGAGCTCAATGGGGTCACTTGCTTAGTGATCGCACGATATAATAATAAATAAATTACTACAAGATGGAACCGAACTTAAAACAAGAAAATAAAACAAAATGAAAACATACCTTTTCAGCTCAAAGTCTCTTCTGTGAAATAAAGCATCTAGCGTTGGTGCACCGAAGGGAAGGTTCATCTTCAAATTCGTTGCAGATTCAATCATCGCAGGAAATAATATATTAAATCCAACGGGGGATTGTTGTTCTTCATCAGAAGCTGAAGCTAAATTTGATTCGATAAAGTGTAGCCCTAAAAGAACAAAATGGATGTTCTATAAGGTGTGCGTTTATAGAACATAAATGGAGGAAACTTAGCAAGAAACCAAGAACAACGGTTATACCCTTGTTAATTTGTTCTTCGCCAACATTCCACTGTTTCAGTGCAAGGATGCAAGCTAAGGTAGATAAGAGAGCTTCTTTCGTGAACAAGGGATGCAAATTAGAAGGACACCATGAGCCATCACGGAGTTGATTACACAATAACCAGTTTACGCATTCGGGGAAAAACGGGTCCTTTGGGGAATTCGGAGAAGGGACCATTGCTACCCAAGCTGTGTCGTATGAGGAAACCGAGAGATCAATCTTGTCGAACATCTTCCTTATTCTTAGTGTAGTCCCCTCAAAACTCTGCTTAAATTAAAAAAGCAAACTTTTTATATCGTAAACAGTATAAAAGAGTGTAGGAAATCATAGAACTAGGAGGATAATCTTACCAAAACAGCAGCATTGACCTCCGCTGCCTCATTTAATATCGGCGATGTTGGAGCTGCTTGTGGCAAGAAAGAAGGTACATATTAAAGAACTTTCTTTTGGTTCTTCTAGTTGCAATCAATTCTATATTTTCTTCTTCCGTGCAATGTTCTAATTAATCTAACTACGCATAGGGTGTTGCCACTTTTTTTTTTAACAAATGATATTATCTACACTAAAGGGAAGGGGTATGGACTTAACCTCACAATAGGCTAGCAATAATATAATTCAAATTCACCTTTAGCGAGAATCGAACCTAAGATATCTCACTTACAAGTGTAGAAGAATACTACTTGATAGTAGTACTAAATGACACGGTCTAGTGGTATCCTCTTCACTTATAAGTGAGAGGTCTTAGGTTCAATTCTCGCTAAAGGTGAATATGAATCACATTATTGCTAGCACATTATGAGGATAGACTCACCATCTTCCCTTAGTGTAGATAACATCGTTTATTCACACACACACACAAAAAAACACTACACGTAGGGTGGAGAGCACATGCCATAGCCAAATTAATTTGGAGAGCACATACTCTAGTCAACTTGACTACGCACTTATCTACAAAATTATATATACTAAAATTCAAAGGGAAAAACACTCTTCTAAGCACAAAAAGGACAAAAATACTCCTCTTCAAAATTATTTTCCTTCCTTTATTCAAATCAGAAAAAAAAAATTAACAACTTCAAAATCAAACTCCAAAAGGGTATTAAAAACAAGGATTACTTGACTCATTGAGTGTGAAAGTTTTGAGCTTTAAAGAAGCAGAGCAAGGAGAGTTGTTGGCCAAGCAGCATTATCCATGTATTAGGATGTTCAAAAATTAGAAACACGTTTCAGTAAAGGATTTGGAAAAAGATCATTCAAAGGAAAATATAACAGCATAGTTCTTGCCCATACACACTTCAGTAAGAAGCAACTTTACAGTGTATGTCACGCTAGAAGAGAAAAGAACAAATATGAGAGAAACAAGATCAGTGTTTTATTCCATTTTTATTTTAGGGTGGATAGGAACTAGGACATAAATGGAGAGAAAACCTTCAAGACTTCAACTGCAGTTCGAAAAATTTAAAATCAAACAGCACATCAATTTCATTCCAAACCACTTCAAATGCCATAGAGATCATAACAACTTATGGGTTGTTTGTAGGTGATGGTACCCCAATCCTTTTTTTTGGGCACATCTTGCTTACTAATTGGGTTGAGATTGGGTCTTCTCAGTTGGCAACATAATATTTGTTGGTTCAAAAATGAACTTACTTGAACACAAATCTCACTGGCAATGTATCAGCCATACAATATATTCAATGACAATAAAAGTGTCTCTACAGGAAAACGAAGCAAAAAGAAGAGCGAGGTACTCGTTGGCAATACAGAACAATGTGAAAAGTTTGTGATGAGCCCAAGAACAGATCACTTAGAAATTAAGTCATGGAAAATAGAACAATGTAGGCAATTTTTAAAAATTGTATATATTTGGTACTTAGAAGTCCATCCTTTAAGTTGTTGAAATCTGCCTTTTTTTGTTGTACATGGGCTCTTAATATAGAGTCAGTAAAATGTAAGTGCAAACTGAAAGACTAATCAATGTGGGCAATTTTTGAAATTGTATATAGTTGAAACTCAGAGATCCGCCTTTTTTATTGTACATAAGCTCTTCATGTAAAGTCAATAGAATGTAGATCCAAACTGAAAGACTTATTTTACCGTGTGGGTTCAACTGCTTTGATTAGTTTTTGAATTATTTGGATATGGATATGTTGAAGGTTTTATAAGTGAAATATGCATGCAAATGTTTAGTGAAACATGTATGTTTTTTAATGCGATTGTTGTGCTGCTGCCTTTAGAGTATCGATTCATTGTGAGTTATGGGTTTATGTTTTTTTTATCCACCTTCGCTCTTTCTAAACTGTTAGTGATGTGCCTAATGTTTATTTTGGGTTGAATTTCAACTTCTAGATAGGTTTATTATAAGTAATTCTCATAGTGGTTTGGAAATATTAATTTGTTTACAAATCTCTGCGTGTTATGATTAAGCGCGTTAGTGTGATTTTACTTTTCGTTGATAAGAAAAAATTTCTCAAATGTACTGGGAATGCGGAAAGATAAATATACAAATTTACTTTCTTTTCGTTTCAATATCAGTGATGAACACGTTCTCTTTTGCTTCTTTTAGAAACATTTGAAAGAGCTCTGGTATTGGACGTGTTTGAGTGCATGATTTATTTTGAAATTTTTTGTTGATTATTATGTAAAGATCAAACTTCTTTTTTTTCTAAAAGAATTGGGGAGGGGGAAAATATGAGAAAGTTGGAAAAATAACCAAATTTTAGGTCTCATATAGAATTAAAGCCACCATTTTAATTTTATGATAATTATAACCAAAACTTTATGGAAAAGTACTAATATATCCTTAATTTTAGGGTTTCTCACCAATTAAAACACAATCTATAAGATTGCAGATTTGAATGTAGATAGAGAGAGTTTTTCGAGTTCCCACATTATTTTTGAAAAATTGGCTCCAATTGGAGAAATTAATTTCGATCACTTTTTTGTTTTCATTATTGTCTGCAACCTTTAACTACATCTTTAGATGTCTGCAACCTTTAAACCAGAATGAAAGGATGAAGTAAAAACAAAAAAAAAATCAAAGTTATGCAAAGTGAATATATTCCTCGCGTCCATGCTGCTTATGCAAAATCTCTAATGCTTGCAAGGACATAGGTCAAAAAATGCTGCTGTGTCCCATAGCCCCAATTAAGTTCACTATATTGAGTTATGCAAAATCCCTGCTGCTTATACAAAATCGAAGGATGCTTTCATTCTTTCTGATTTAAGGTGAGAAATCCGAAAGTTGCAAAGTAGTTCAAAAGTTGTAGGGAATAATGAAAACAAAAAAATGATGGAGATTAATTTCTCATTGTAAGGTAGTTTAAAGGTTGTGTTTTAGTTGTTATGAGATCAAAAAAGGCTGCTGTGTCCCATAGCCCCAATTAAGTTCACTATATTGAGTTATGCAAAATCCCTGCTGCTTGTACAAAATCGAAGGATGCTTTCATTCTTTCTGATTTAAGGTGAGAAATCCGAAAGTTGCAAAGTAGTTCAAAAGTTGTAGGGAATAATGAAAACAAAAAAATGATGGAGATTAATTTCTCATTGTAAGGTAGTTTAAAGGTTGTGTTTTGGTTGTTGTGAGATCAAGTTTTAGTTATAATTATCATAAAATTATAATAATGATTATAATTCTATACGGATTTAAAATATTGTTATTTTTCTAAACTTCCCGGCAAACATTATGATATACCAAAAAACATAACAAAAACAAAACTACACAAAAAATGGCCAGAGATGGGAGAGAGAGACCTCGTGGGGGAAAGGTGGAGCATCTGAGATTGCTGAGGTGAGAGGAAGTCATAGAGAGAGCGATTGTGAAAGCTGCAGCAACTCCAGAATGCTCAATCTCCACTCTCACACTGGAGAGTCTTATTATATATTACATTTATAATTTAGACTTGCTATATAACGTAAAAAATTCATCATAAATAAATAGTATACAATATGGGATAGCACATGGCAATATGCTATAGCACATGGCATATCACGTGGTCATATGTTAATGGAATACAATATGAAATGGCACATGGTAATATGGTATGCACATTTTTTTAGGGCGTTTATATCTAGGTTAAAAAATACAGGTTGTTTTTTACAATGAGTTCAGCTATCTAATTACATATTTTTATATTAATTTTGTCTTTTTAGATAAAATAATTAAATTCATTAACTTTTGTGATAAAGGTAGATTATAAAAAGAAAAAATATGTAATACAATTAAAGCTTATTTGGATGTATTTTTAAAATGACTGAAAGCGTTTTTTGTGAAAATATTTTTTGAAACAATCCTTAATAAAAATGCTAGTAAATTCTAAAGAAAAAAAACACTTAAAGTGATTCATGCATGAAGCACATAACTGGTGTTTCTTGTAAAAAGCACTTCAAGTGCTTTTAAAACTCAAAAATATTTTCTCTAAAAGCGCTTTCAATCATTTTAAAAGCACATCCAAACGAGCTCTTAGTCTGCGTTATAGGTAAACTATGAACAAAAATCTAGGTCATAGGTAGATAAAAAATTAAACATAGTATCTATAAACGAAATATGAAACCTAACTAACAGATACAAAAACATACCACACCTACAAATAAGATACATTAAGCAGTGATACAGTTTAAAATAAAAAAATAAAAAAAATCTTTTATATAGGTAGATAAATACAATTAACATGTGATAGACATTGATTATAAAAATAAAAATAAAAAATTATAAATGAGGTTTGGAGCAAAAGGACAAGAAATAACAAAGAAAAATAAATAATTAAAAAGAAATTAAATGTTACAGTAAATGTTATCAACAAATAAATAATTATTGATATAAAATAATTTTGAATTTAAGGAATTAACTTATTTTTAATATAATTTAAAAAATTTAACTGATATTGAGTTTTTTTTTTTTTTTTTTTTTTTTTTTTTGGGTATACGCTTATCCTTCCAAATTTGTTAGTTTATACATGGAATCTTGTTGCCAGGCGCCTCCGAATCTTTTCTCCTGCAACTTGTGGGATCTAGGGGTGGGGGGTCCAGGACCCCGCAGGTCGGGGCAGGTACCCGCAATTTGGGGCGGGTAAGAGACGGGTCCAAAATTTCAGAACACCAAACGGGACGGGGCGGGGCGGGTATATGAATTTATTGGGGCGGGGCGATTCTTAAAATAGGAGTGAACGGGCCCCCAGCCCGACCCGTTTCTAGCATGTCCTTACAGAAATGTGTTCAATTTATTATTGTTTTATGAGTCACATCTCACTTTCTCTCTATCTCCCTAAAAAGGCCTTGTGGGTCGGCCAACAAAGGTAGTTTACGTTTCGACAAGAAAAACCTAAAAGTACTTTGAGTCATAAGCACTAAGTACTTCCAAGTCCTTTTTCAAAAATCACTTGGATTTTCAATACTAATTTCAACATGCTTCTAATAAAAGCATTTCTATCCTGTTTACGAACGTAAGTATTTCTTACATAGCAAACCAGAACAAGCCTTAGATTCCCTTGTTAGAACAATTTAAAAGATTTCGGCTTACAATCCCAATTAAATGACTTGTCACGGTGCGGCCGTGCCAATGCCTTGGCTACAATCTTATTGATCACATTCTTAAGTGCTGAAAATATTATCTCAACGTGCTCAGAACAACAATCGACGCTCACACACTTGAGGTTTCAAATACAAGGAACTTTAGGACCAACAATCGATCAATGGAGATGGGAAAGTGAATCACATTCACATTTACATGCAGGAAAGTCAAAATCAGGAGCACAAGCAGAAATTTTTTACCAACAATGGATCTAATGGAGATGGGAAATGAACGGGAAAAGGGAAGCATACTTCTCAATCAATTGTATCATCAGGTTTACGTTTTCCTCTTCGGAACCTCCAATGTCAGCAAAATCATCAACCACGGTTCTAAGCACTCCCCATTCGCGCTTGATCATCAACTTCTTCTCCACGTCTGCGCTTCCCATAGCAAAGGAACTGCACCTTCCCACCTACTACTTCTACACTTCTGGTTCAGCAGCTCTTGCGGCTTTCTTGTACTTCACTTAACTCCATGAACAAACCACCAAGAGTTTCAAGGACCTCACCGACACTGTTTTCGTAATCCCCTGATTAAAGTCCCCTCTGAAGGACATCCAAATGTCCAGCCAATGCTCGACCGAGACCGCCCTGCTTACTGGGACGACATGCTCTACCTCTGCTCACATCTTCTCAAATCCGACGGAATCATTGACAACACATTTGAAGAGCTCGAGCCCACTTCCACCCTAAAAGGCTATAGTTCAAGGTCTGTGCGTTTCTGATCGCCCCACTCCACCTGTATACTGCATTGGATCCTTCATCGAAAAAGAAAAACAATCTGGTAATGTTGCCACCGAGGTGGAGGAGGACTGCCTCTAGTGGCTAGATAAGCAGCAAAGTTGAAGCGTGATGTTTCTTTGTTTCGGAAGCAGAGGATCATTCTCGCTGATTCAACTGAAGGAGATAGCAAAAGGGTTGGAGACAAATGGGATGGGAAGAGGTTTCTGTGGGTGGTGAAGAAGCCGCCGGCAGATGTGAAAACAAAGCAGCTTCATGGAGTTGACAACGACTTTGATTTGGAGGGTCTGTTGCCTGAAGGGTTCTTGGAAAGGACCAATGACAGGGGCATGGTGGTGAAGTCATGGGCTCCGCAAGCAGCGGTGTTGAAGAAGGAATCGGTGTGTGGGTTTGTGACACATTGTGGCCCGAACTAGGTGCTCGAAGCGGTGGTTTCCGGCGTACCATTGATTGATTGGCCACTGTACGCGGAGCAGCATCTGGACAGGAATAATCTGGTGAAGGACATGGAAATAGCGACCGGGGTGGAGCAGAGAGAGGAAGATGGATTCCTGAGCGGGGACGAATTGGAGAGGAAAGTGAGGGAGTTGATGGAGTCGGAAGGAGGGAGAGCTCTTAGAGAAAGGAGCAAGCAAATGCAGAGATGGCAATGGCTGCTTTGGGAGAGACTGGTTCGTAGACTTGAAACTTAGTTAACTTTGTTAATAGCATTGGATAAGCAAGTTTTCTGAATCTGCATTTGGATTTGGTAAAAATTATATAAATGAAAACTTATATTATCTCAGAAAAAAAGATGCAAACTTGTAGAAGACAGTTATTTGTAGCTCTATTACACATGCCAAAAGTTACAGTTCACTGAGAAGGATGGGTTCTTCTATTACTGCGTATGCCGTCTTCATCATATCATGTGCTGTGAATCCATCATGCTTAGCGTAAAACAGGTGCAGCACTTTGCTCATGTTCCAAAACAAATCTTTGCAAGCTCTCGGAACTACGCTACCCTTCTCAAGCAAAACTAATCTTAGCAATTCTCTTCTCTTACTGACTATTACATTCTTCATCTCGCTAATGGCCTCTTCCTCAGTAACACCGCTGCCATGAATCATGGCCAAGGACACAGCATTTAGCTTCCTTTCTGCAGATTCTCTCTGCAACGTAGCCAAGAGTTAAGAGTTAACAATTTTAGATGGGATACTATTACTTTTATAGGAGAATGGGGGGATGTTGTCTACCTTAAACCCTTGGATATCATTGAGAAGGCGCCCAGCAGTGCTCATAAGTCGATACAGATGATGGAATTCGGAACTGCCAACAGCCTCCTCTGAAAGCTTAGGCCCAACCAAATAGAGAGCAGGAAGGACAATTGGTCCCAAGCCAATTGATACGTATGCATTTTCCATATACTCCTCCATTGTTGGAACTGACTTGTTTCTCAACCACTCGGCTTCCTTGAACATAGACTTGATCAAATCCAACCACTGGAAAATCAAACAGAGCTCATTTCATCCCTTTACTCTCTTTTCATGAAGTCAATGAATAGAAAACTCAAATAACGGTCTTATCATCGACTAGACAGTCACGATAAAGTACCATCAGAATCAATGTTAAGGGAGTGTTCGGGTTATTGTAAGACACTTCGTGAAAGTGAAGTACTTGAAACATTTTAAGTAGTTCAGGAGACAGCTAGTGCTCTAAGAAAAAACATTTTATATGAATCGAAACAACAATGACAAGGACAAATTAAAATATTTCAACTTACAATCTCTATCACATGACTTGTCACACTGCGTCCTTGCCGCGTGAATGCCCTGGCTCCAATCTCGTTGATTGTGTTCTTGAGTGCTGAAAATATAATTTCAACATTCTCGGAACAACAATCAACACTCACATTCACATCCCACCTGAAGCCCAAATACATGAAAATTAAGACCATCATGTCAGAAACAACTAACAATGACTACGAGCACAAGCGGGAATTGTTGCCCAAAAATGGGTCCAACAGAAATAAGATACAAATGGGAAAAGGAAACATACTTCTCAACCAATTGTATGAGGTTTATCAGTTCCTTTTCGGAACCTCCAACGTCAAAGAAATCATCGACCACAGTCGCAAGGACGCCATTTTTGGCCCATGATATGCGTGCATCTGATAGTTCGGGAGGAAAAAGGGTTGCAGCAGCCGAGAAGTAAGAGTATGCCTGCTTCTGCCTAGCAAATTTTAGCTTGTCTAATCTGTACTCCTCAACCCACCTGCTTAGGTAAAATCACAAAAAATAAATTAGATTATTCTGTACTCCTCAAACGACCTGCTTAGGTACTGCACTCTCCTTCACTTACAAAAAATAAAGATCAGGTGGAAACTCTAGTAACAAGAAGCTCGGCTTGGGAGAGAGAGTACTGTACGTACCTAGTAAAATGGTTGAGTTCTTCACGGTGTATAGATTGGCAATTATTGAAGTCATCCACAGCCAGCTTTAGGAAATCTTCATTTCCAATATTCAAACAACTAACCTAAGACGAGCGCAAGGAATAATAAGTTATATGCACTGGTCCTTCAGAATAATTCAAAACAAATCAAATTCTTCTTAAAAGAAGCGAAAAGGAAGAAGAGGTGCTGTCGAAGAAAATACTAGAAGTTTACCGATAATAAGATTTTAAAATCCTTGTACTGTCTGTGTTGTAATATTTTATAGCTGTCCTGGTTGACAACCGACCCAAAATTGCGTAACGAGGAATTTTAAGAGCATCATCCACCTGAAAACAATAGGGCGTCAGGTAGTCGACAGCCGGCACTTCATGATCACGTCGAATCCTTATGAAAATGAATCCAGAACAAAATCGCGCTAAAGCTAGGGCGTCACCCGTAAGTGGCGCGCTGTGTGGCCCAAGCACAGTGATAAGTGAGCAAGGGTCGCTGTATCTCCATCGGCACCCGGATGCAGTGTTAAATGAGCAAGGGGGCTATAGAAACTTCTTTTCGAACGACTCCACTCAAAGTTGTTTGGGAGCATATGCTCCTATCAACTTTACCCGGGACACACAAAAGAAGTACTTTGATCCTATTAGACGGGGGATGGTGAAGAAGCTAGGACAGAAGGGTAGAGTTCAAGAGAGCAAAATGCGTTTAGGAACGTGGAATATAGGAACCTTAACGGGAAAATCTATGGAAGTAGTGGAAGTTATGGTGAGGAGAAGGATAAATATTATGTGCCTACAAGAAACTAAGTGGGTTGGTAGTAAGGCAAAGGATCTAGAAAACTCAGGGTTTAAACTTTGGTATTCGAGCACAAATAGAACGAGAAACGGTGTTGGCATCATCGTGGACAAGACCTTGGTACAAGATGTTGTAGATGTCAAGAGGGTAGGAGATAGAATCATGGCAATCAAGATTGTAATAGGACAAGAACTTATCAATGTGATTAGTGTGTACGCACCTCAAGTAGGGTTGGATACGAGTTCGAAGGAGAAATTTTGGGAAGATCTTGGAGACTTGGTGCAAGGAATTGCTCAGACGGAGAAGTTATTTATAGGAGGAGATTTAAATGGACACGTGGGCAGGGAGACAGGCAACTATGGAGGTTTTCATGGTGGCCATGGTTTTGGGGAGAGAAACGAGGATGGGGAAGCTATCTTGGATTTTGCAATGGCATATGATCTCTTCTTAGCCAACACCTTCTTTAAGAAGAGAGAAGAACATGTGATCACCTACAAGAGTGGGTCGTCAAAAACACAAATAGATTTTCTTCTAATGAGGAAAGGGGATCGTATAACTTGTAAGGATTGCAAAGTTATACCAGGAGAGAGAGAGCGTGGCTAATCAACATCGCTTGTTGGTGATGGATGTACATATCAAAAGAGTAAGACAAAAGAACAAGACTTGGAAGTGCCCAAGGACTAGATGGTGGAATCTAAAAGAAGAAAAACAAGTCATTTTCAAAGAGAAGGTAATCACCCAATGTGTGTGGGATAGAGAGGGGGAAGCTAGCCAAATGTGGGATTCCATGGCTAGTTGTATCCGAAAAGTAGCAAAAGAGGTATTAGGAGAGTCCAAGGGCTTTGCCCCACACCAAAAGGAATCTTGGTGGTGGAATGAGGAGGTACAAACAAAGGTGAAGGCTAAGAAGGAATGTTGTAAAGCCTTATACAAGGAGAGGACCGATGAAAATGGTGAAAGGTATAGAAAAGCGAAGCAAGAGGCGAAGAAAGCTGTCAGAGAAGCTAAGTTAGCGGCTTACGACGATATGTATAAACGACTAGATACCAAAGAAGGAGAGTTGGATATCTATAAACTATCTAGAGCAAGGGAAAAGAAGACAAGGGGACCTAAACCAAGTGAGGTGCATCAAGGATGAGGATGGAAAGGTTCTTGCTACAGAGAACGCGGTTAAAGACAGATTGGAGAGGTTATTTTCATAATCTTTTCAATGAAGGACATGAAATGAGTGCTTCTTTAGGGGAGTTGAGTAACTCAGAAGAGTGTAGAAACTACTCTTTTTATCGTAGAATCCGGAAGGAAGAAGTGGTTGTAGCTTTGAAGAAGATGAAGCATAAAAAAAGCAATAGGCCCAGACGATATACCAATCGAAGTGTGGAAACTTTTGGGAGAGACAGGTATAACATGGCTCACTGACCTTTTCAATAGGATTTTGAAAACGAAGAAGATGCCAAATGAGTGGCGAACGAGCACTTTGGTGCCTATCTACAAGAATAAGGGCGACGTACAAAATTGCATGAACTATAGGGGTATTAAGCTAATGAGTCATACAATGAAGCTCTGGGAGAGAGTCATTGAGCATAGATTGAGGCAAGAGACACGGGTTTCGGACAACCAATTCGGGTTCATGCCAGGGCGCTCAACCATGGAGGCAATCTATCTCTTACGAAGATTGATGGAAAGATATAGAGATGGGAAAAAGGATTTACACATGGTCTTTATAGATTTGGAAAAAGCGTATGATAGGGTCCCAAGAGACATTCTTTGGAGGATTTTAGAGAAGAAAGGAGTACGAGTAGCATATATCCAAGCTATAAAGGATATGTATGAAGGAGCAAAGACTGCCGTAAGAACTCATGAAGGACAAACCGAAAGCTTTCCCATAACTGTAGGATTACATCAAGGCTCATCCTTAAGTCCTTACCTTTTTGCGTTGGTAATGGATGAGTTAACAGGACATATTCAAGATGATATTCCTTGGTGTATGCTTTTCGCACAGACGATATAGTGTTGATAGATGAAACTCAGGAAGGGGTAAATGCAAAGCTTAACCTTTGGAGAGAAGTGTTGGAATCTAAAGGTCTTCGCCTAAGCCGATCAAAGACAGAATATATGGAGTGCAAGTTCAGTGCAAATGGAGGCCAAAACGAGTTAGGGTGAGGATCGGAGATCAAGAAATACCAAAGAGCGACCGTTTTCGTTACCTAGGATCTATCTTGCAAAAGAACGGAGAATTAGATGGAGATCTCAACCATAGAATACAAGCTGGATGGATGAAGTGGAAGAGTGCATCCGGCGTGTTGTGTGACCGCCGTATGCCACTGAAGCTCAAGGGAAAATTTTATAGGACGGCAATAAGGCCGGCGATGCTGTATGGCACAGAATGTTGGGCGGTGAAACATCAACACGTACACAAAATGGGTGTAGCGGAGATGAGGATGCTTCGTTGGATGTGTGGGCACACGAGAAAGGATAAGATTAGGAATGAGGATATCCGGGGTAAAGTAGGAGTAGCCGAAATTGAAGGAAAGATGAGAGAAAATCGGTTACGGTGGTTTGGACATGTGCAAAGAAGGCCTACTGACGCTCCGATTAGAAGATGCGACTATGGGACAGAGGTTCAGGGCCGAAGGGGTAGAGGAAGACCTAGGAAAACTTTGGAAGAGACTCTAAGAAAAGACTTAGAGTACTTGGATCTAACGAAGGACATGACACAGGATCGAGCACAATGGCGTTCTAAGATTCATATAGCCGATCCCACTCAGTGACTTGGATTTTCCAAGTCTCCAACCGAGAAGTTTTCCTCACTCGGGAAATTAAGGGAACACTACCCCCAACCTACATGCTCCACTCAGAAAGCTTCAACATACAAGCTTCAACAAAAGAAAATTCAAAGAACTTAGCGAAGAAGGCTTTGGTGTGTATTTAACACAATACGTTGAAATGAAGGAAAGCTTATTTATTGATATCCCCGATAAGCTACAAATATGTACATATACATGAGTCAAAATAAACACACAAGAGGGAGCCTTCACAAAGGTTGCTTAGGAGAAGTCTCAGCAGTCGGTAGAGCCCCAGAAAGAGAAGGCACCGGAGGGGGGATCATTTGGAGCCTCAGTACTGGACAGAACCCTAGAAGGAGGAGGCATCAGAGGTTGATCATTCGGAGCTTCATTACGCGGTACAGCCCCAGAAGACGAAGGCAATAAATGCCTTTGGAACAAACCCACAAATCTCTGATGATCAAGTAAAACCTGACCATCAGTTTCCTTCATCTGGTCAAGCTTCCTCTTCATGTTTGTAGCATAGTCATGTGCGAGCCGGTGCAACTGTTTATTCTCATGCTTGAGCCCTCTAATCTCCTGTTTGAGACTCATCACTTCAGCCGCCAATGATTCAACTTGGCGGGTTCGAGCAAATAGGCGTTGGGCCATATTAGACACAGAACCTGCACACTGAACACTGAGAGCCAGCGAATCCTTAACAGCTAACTCATCAGACCGTTTGGAAAGTAGTCTGTTATCTTTGGGAGTGAGAAGGTTCCTGGCCACCACCGCAGCGGTCATATCATTCTTCATCACGGAATCCCCAACGGTAAGAGGACCAGTAGGGGAGACGAAGGATGGGCGCCATATGTTGTCTGGAGAAGGCGGGGCTGCCTCTTCAACAAGGTTCAAGTCAAAACGACGGTCGGAGGGGCCAGACATTTTCAAAGGTGTTGAAGAGAGAAGAGGTCGGACAAATCAAGATCTTAGAAGTGCAAGAATGAAGCTTCTACTGGTGGAGATTCAAGTGTGCTTTGGAACTTAATGCCAGCCCCTATAAAAAATCTGCACTCGACGGAGCTTCAGAAATCGAAGAGGCGCCTGCTCAGAAATCGAAGAGGCGTTTGCTTTCTCAAAAGCTGGGCTGCTTAGAGATCACGAGGGTTGATCTCAGAAATCGAAGAGGCGTTTGCTTTCTCAAAAGTTGGGCTGCTCAAAGACCACGAAGGCCGATCTCAGAAATCGAAGAGGCGCTCGCTTTCTCAAAAGCTGGGCTCCCCAGAGACCACGAGGGCCGATCTCAGAAATCGAAGAGGCACCTACTTTTCCAGCCTTGTCAGCACCTGTCACACGCACACTCAGCTTTGCGGAAATTATGGGCATTCTGTCGAAGACTTCTGGGGAAGTAGAAAACACATGAATCTTACTGTTCAATCACCCACTTCCCACACGCAACAATAGCTCATGGGTACCACAGATAACTTTGCCAAAGTTCTCTGCCAAAGTTGAGCACGTGAAGCTTGCAGCTCCCACTACATCGCTCTGACCAAGAAGGGTAAAAGAATAGCAAAGAAACAGCACTAACAAAGTTTAGACCCATAAATTTTGAAGGTCTAGCTACCATATTATTACCCACAAGGGTAAAGGAACAGTACCACTGCTGGATAATTGGAAAGTCCCTGTGTGTCAACCTCTGTGCTTCGTGGCAAGGTAGACTAGCAAACATGCCCAACCTTTACTCACATTCGAGAAAACACTCCCAATAAGATTGCTTGCTCCAAAATCGAAGAGGCACCGTCCTCCGAATCTCGAGAGCCAGACTCCCAACATGACTACTTTCTTAAAAATCGAAGAGAGGGTAAAGGAACAGTACCATTGCTGGATAATTGGAAAGTCCCTGTGTGTCAACCTCTGTGCTTCGTGGCAAGGTAGACTAGCAAACATGCCCAACCTTTACTCACATTCGAGAAAACACTCCCAACAAGATTGCTTGCTCCAAAATCGAAGAGGCACCGCCCTCCGAATCTCGAGAGCCAGACTCCCAACATGATTACTTTCTCAAAAATCGAAGAGACACTGCTCCCCGAATCTTCGAGAGCCAGACCCCCAGCATGATTGCTTTCTCAAAAATCGATGAGGCATCGTTCTCCGAATCAATTGAAGAGGTGCTCGCTTTCTCAAAAGCTGGGCTGCTCAGAGACCACGAGAGCCGATCTCAGAAATCGAAGAGGCATCTACTATTCTAGCCTTGTCAGCACCTGTCACACGCACACTCAGCTTTGCAGAAATTATGGGCATTCTGTCGAAGACTTCTGGTGAAGTAGAAAGCACATGAATCTTACTGTTCAATCACCCACTTCCCACACGCAACAATAGCTCATGGGTACCACAGATAACTTTACCAAAGTTCTCTGCCAAAGTTGAGCACGTGAAGCTTGCAGCTCCCACTACATCGCTCTGACCAAGAAAGGTAAAAGAATAGCAAAGAAACAACACTAACAAAGTTTAGACACATAAATTTTGAAGGTCTAGCTACCATATTATTACCCACAAGGGTAAAGGAACAGTACCATTGCTAGATAATTGGAAAGTCCCTGTGTGTCAACCTTTGTGCTTCGGGGCAAGGTAGACTAGCAAACATGCCCAACCTTTACTCACATTCGAGACAACACTCCCAACAGGATTGCTTGCTCCAAAATCGAAGAGGCATCGCCCTCCGAATCTCGAGAGCCAGACTCCCAACATGATTACTTCCTCAAAAATCGAAGAGACACTGCTCTCCGAATCTCGAGAGCCAGACCCCCAGCATGATTGCTTTCTCAAAAATCGAAGAGGCATCGTTCTCCGAATCTCGAGAGCCAGATACCACAGACCACTTTTTCAAAGTGCTCTGACAGAGTTAAAACATGTGAAACTGGCAGCTCCCACTACCGTGCTATGACCAAGCAGGGTAAATGAATAGCATTACTACTTGTTGTTAGGGAGACTCCTATATATGTCGACCTCCATCCCCAACGGACAGGCAGACCTGCAAAAATGCTTAACCCTTCATCATATCTGAGAGGGCACTCCCAACGAAGCCTTTCGAAATATTCAGCTTTCTTTCCCCCCCGATAATACCTCTGCAAACAAGCTATACTAGAGCAAGAATATCTCATATCATCAGGGTTAAAAGCAAGAGTATCCCATATCATGCTTTTTCCCTGTCTTTTCCTTTGGCCTTGTTTTTACCTGCAAGACAAGGAGAAAGAGAGCAATCAGTCAGCATTTGGAATCAAGCTTTCAGCTAGGAACTGACTGCCTGGAACCCCTTACCTGATTACTTACCTGGCATTGCTCTCGAGTACTCATCTTCAACATCTTATGTTTCCAGGGAAGATTCCGCATCTGCTTGAGGAACAGATAGGGCAAGTGCGAAGGATACAAGGAAGCATGTGGAGACAAGCGTAACAGCACACGTGCCGATACATCCATTACTCTGTCAAAAGCAAAAGTATCCCATATCAGCAGGGTGGAACGTACTCTAGATTTGATGGACTTGTTTTGACCCTCAAATTCTTCAGTCGGCCTTATACTCTGGAGGAAACCAGAAAACCCTCCAGCTCAGTTCAAGAATAAGCCTGTGGAAAGTTACTTCTTCAAAAGCAAAAGTATCTCATATCATCTCTTCTCATTTTTCTTCTCTTTATCCTTCATGCTGCTGCAAGATGGGGAGAAGGTGAACAATCAGTCGGAGCTCTGATTGCTTACCTTGTCTGTCACCTCTTTCAGCAGACCCCCTAGCTCGGCGACATGGGGGACTCCTACTACATGGTTTGTATTGCGCTTGACCAAGCTTGAAACTACAAGTAAGCTTTAAGTGAAATTGATACATTACCTTCTGCATCTCCACCAGTTAAAGATACCACCCCTGGATGGAGGAAGAGTACTTCCAGAGAAGATGCCACATCTACCTATGAGACAGATAAGGCAAGTCAAGACGACACCACACTCCGATACTTAGAAGTTTCGTGATTACGAGATCATTCTCCCACAATATTTCCTAATGTCATTTGTACTAAATCATTCGCTTGTACTCACTAAAGGAGAGCTTGAACCTATGTACTTGTGTAAACCCTTCACAATTAATGAGAACTCTTCTATTCCGTGGACGTAGCCAATCTGGGTGAACCACGTACATCTTGTGTTTTGCTTTCCTATCTCTATCCATTTATATACTTATCCACACTAATGACCGGAGCAATCTAGCGAAGATCACAAAAAGCGACCGTTTTCGCTACCTAGGATCTATCTTGCAAGAGAACAGAGAATTAGATGGAGATCTCAACCATAGAATACGAGCTGGATGGATGAAGTGTAAGAGTGCATCCGGCGTGTTGTGTGACCGTCGTAGGCCACTGAAGCTCAAGGGAAAATTTTATAGGACGGCAATAAGGCCAGCGATGTTGTATGGCACAGAATGTTGGGCGGTGAAGCATCAACACGTACACAAAATGGGTGTAGCGGAGATGAGGATGCTTTGTGGGATGTGTGGGCACACGAGAAAGGATAAGAAAGGGAATGAGGATATCCGAGGTAAAGTAGGAGTAGCCGAAATTGTAGGAAAGATGAGAGAAAATCGGCTCCGGTGATTTGGACATGTGCAAAGAAGGCCGACTGACGCTCCGGTTCGATGATGTGACTACGGGACAGAGGTTCAGGGCCGAAGGGGTAGAGGAAGACCTAGGAAAACTTTGGAAGAGACTCTAAGAAAAGACTTAGAGTACTTGGATCTAACGGAGGACATGACACAAAACCGAGCGCAATGGCGTTCTAGGATTCATATAGCCGACCCCACTTAGTGGGAAAAGGCTTTGTTGTTGTTGTTGTTGTTGTTGTTGTATCCACCTGAAAACAATAAAAAATTGCTTTATTTTATGAACTATCTTGAGAATATAAGAAATTAAAGGCACCAGATAAATAAGATAGGTCTATCACAGAAAGCTACCTCTAGGCCGATATGCTTATTCAGTCTATGACCCTGAATTAAAGTATTGGATAACTCCTGTTTCAGAAAATGACTCGTCCAGTAATGTTGTTTCTCTAGAACGGATTCATCTGGATGTATGATGGTTTCTGAAGCCCTAAACAATTCTAAGGCATCACCGATGTTCATCATATACCCTCCAAGGGAATTGAAGAAACGATCTTCTGAATATTGAGTTAATGGATCTAAAAGACAGCATAAATCAGTTGCATTTGTTTTTGCCAAAACAAAGTCATGAAAGACAAGGTACCCAAAATTGAAATACCTGCAGAAACATCATATCCATTCACACGTAAGAGTCGAAATGCCATTGCACAAGTGGCAGCATCTGAAAATATATCTTCATCACCCTGCAGCCAGCATCTGTTTGTTGGCTAATGTCATGCTTCCCCATGGATGAAAACTAATAAAATCTCGAAACTGGGGTATACATATATGGCAAAAATTACCTGTATGTTTCATCCAGTACACTTCTAATTTCCTCCCTGAAATGTCGATCAACACCCAAACTTTCAAGACTGGCAACCATAGAAAGACGGACATGTTTATGTAGAGGATAAACCGTTGGAACTGAAAAGGGTAGGTTTAAAACATTGGAAGCTTTATCCTGATGTAGTATAGTAAATAAATTCACCTAAAAAATTAATGGAAAATATTTAGTACGAAACCTGCGTTCCCAAACTTTTCTAAGAGTGTGCGTAGGTACTTAAGACAATCAGCATTCTTAAGGTGAGTAAAAGCAGAGGCGGTGGTTGCTGGCGAATTAAACAAAGATCCATTCCTCCTTTGATACTTCATGACCAGCTCCCAGTCCTGCGAGCTTCCAAATCCTTCTGAAATATATGCTAAGAACGCTCTCCACCCCTCTGAGTTGCTCGCATAACCTCTAAATAATAACATTTTGGAGCAGAGATCTTCAATTAGAATAATTTTGGATGCAAAACTGTTAGTATAGGAGAATCCGGTTAGGATTCTGTTGGGGTTAGGTTTTGTAAATTCCCATGGGCTTAGGCTTACTTGTACAACAAGGCGCTTGACTAGTATATATTTGTACCATTGTGATATTAATTGAATCAATACTTTACAATTCTACATGGTATGAGAGCTTCGGTTTTCTGTTTCCTGAACCCTAGCCTACAAAAAAAAAATATTTCTTCCCTTTTCCAATGCATTTCTATTTTTCTGACTCGCATATGAACTGATTATATTGCGAACATCCATGATGAACACTTCGTGAGGTTCTAATAAACAAAGCCAAAGCCACATCTAAAACGGTGAGCTCAATGGGGTCACTTGCTTAATGATAGCACGATATAATAATAAATAAATTACTACAAGATGGAACCGAACTTAAAACAAGAAAAGAAAACAAAATGAAAACATACCTTTTCAGCTCAAAGTCTCTTCTGTGAAATAAAGCATCTAGCGTTGGTCCACCGAAGGGAAGGTTCATCTTCAAATTCGTTGCAGATTCAATCATCGCAGGAAATAATATATTAAATCCAACAGGGGATTGTTGTTCTTCATCAGCAGCTGAAGCTAAATTTGATTCGATAAAGTGTAGCCCTAAAAGAACAAGATGGATGTTCTATAAGGTGTTCATTTATAGAACATAAAAGGAGGAAACTTAGCAAGAAACCAAGAACAACGGTTATACCCTTGTTAATTTGTTCTTCCCAACATTCCACTGTTTCAGTGCGAGGATGCATGCTAAGGTAGATAAGAGAGCGTCTTTCGTGAACAAGGGATACAAATTAGAAGGACACCATGAGCCATCACGGAGTTGATTACACAATAACCAGTTTACGCATTCGGGGAAAAACGGGTACTTTGGGGAATTCGGAGAAGGGACCATTGCTACCCAAGCTGTGTCGTATGAGGAAACCGAGAGATCAATCTTGTCGAACATCTCCCTTATTCTTAGTGTAGTCCCCTCAAAACTCTGCTTAAATTAAAAAAGCAAACTTTTATATCGTAAACAGTATAAAAGAGTGTGGGAAATCATAGAACTAGGAGGATAATCTTACCAAAACAGCGGCATTGACCTCCGCTGCCTCATTTAATATCGGCGATGTTGGAGCTGCTTGTGGCAAGAAAGAAGGTACATTTTAAAGAACTTTCTTTTGGTTCTTCTAGTTGCAATCAATTCTATATTTTCTTCTTCTGTGCAATGTTCTAATTAATCTAACTACGCGTAGGGTGTTGCCACTTTTTTTTTTTTAACAAATGATATTATCTACACTAAAGGGAAGGGTATAGACTTAGCCTCACAATGGGCTAACAATAATATAATTCAAATTCACCTTTAGCAAGAATCAAACCTAAGATCTCTGACTTACAAGTGTAGAGGAATACTACTTGACGGTAGTACTAAATGACACAGTCTAGTGGTATTCATCTTCACTTATAAATAGAGGTCTTAGGTTCAATTCTCACTAAAGGTGAATATGAATCACATTATTGTTCTTAGGTTCAATTCTCGTTAAAGGTGAATATGAATCACATTATTGCTAGTCCATTATGAGGATAGACTCACCATTTTCCCTTAGTGTAGATAACATCGTTTATTCACACACGCACAAAAAAACAAAAAACAAAAAAAAACAACACTACGCGTAGGGTGGAGAGCACATGCCATAGCCGAATTAATTTGGAGAGCACATACTCTAGTCAACTTGACTACGCACTTATCTACAAAATTATATATACTAAAATTAAAAAGGAAAAACACTCTTCTAAGCACAAAAACGACAAAAATATTCCTCTTCAAAATTATTTTCCTTCCTTTATTCAAATCAGAAAAAAAAAATTAACAACTTCAAAATCAAACTCCAAAAGGGTATTAAAAACAAGGATTACTTGATTCATTGAGTGTGAAAGTTTTGAGCTTAAAAGAAGCAGAGCAAGGAGAGTTGCTGGCCAAGCAGCATTATCCATGTATTAGGATGTTCGAAAATTAGAAACACGTTTCAGTAAAGGATTTGGAAAAAGATCATTCAAAGGAAAACATAACAGCATAGTATTGAGAGAACTAAACCAGTCACAAGTTAGTTACAACAGTAAATAGTTAGTTGTGGTATTTATGTAATTAGTTGTAGAAGATAAGGTCACTTGTGTAAGAGTCTTTGTGACTATATATATCCCTGTGTACTGACAATTCAGAGTACAATGAAAATATCTTCGTCAATACTTTCTACATGGTTTCATCGCCAATCGCCTTCCGGCATTCGATCCTCCATTTCTTCCGCTCCACTTCTCTGATTTCTGTTCAAATTGATCAGATTTCTTCGTTGATTTTGTATTCTGATCACTGTTCTTGATCTGTCTTGGTAGTTTTACTCAGCAATTTCTTTCAATTTGAGTCGGTGATATATTTGAGTCGGTGATTTCTCGATCGTTTTCTCTCTTTCTCGATCGATTTCTTGATTGATTTCGTGATCGATCTTGTGCTTTCTGTCTTTGATTCTTCCTCCTCTCTCACATTTTGCGCTTGTCTATCATGGCCTCCCCATCTGGCTCTTCGTCTCCGCCGATCTCATCGTCACTACCAAACCCTAATCCCTCTGAAAATCCTCAACCTCAGAACTCATATATGTCTCTTACGATCCAAAACATTGGTAGCATGGTGCCAATCAAACTCAAACGCACCAATTACCTTCCATGGCGAGCATTGTTTGCTCCGATTTTGCGCCGGTACAAACTTCTTGGTCTTGTTGACGGTACTGAGCCATGTCCGGCTCCTCTTCTCCCTGATCGCTCACTGAATCCGGCATTTGAGCAGTGGTTTGAAAAAGATCAAAACCTCTTGATTTGGCTCAACTCGACTCTATCTGAAGATCTCATTCCATTCACGGTAGGGGTGTCCACGTCTCGAGAGCTTTGGCAGAAGCTTGAACAACGTTTTGGTGGAGTCTCTGAAGCTCATATTCACCAGCTTCGTTCTCGTCTTCAATCAATTCAAAAAGGCTCTCAATCGATCTCGGAATATCTACAGCAACTCAAGGAAATTTCAGATTCTCTCAGTGCTGCTGGTGTAACTGTTTCTGATCGTGATCTCATTGCTGCAACACTTCACGGTCTTCCTGATGAATTCGAGTCCTTTATTGACTCCATCATGTTACGGTTGTCGTCAACTTCTCTTGATGAATTGCATGGTCTGTTGCTAACCAAAGAGCTTTCCATGGCTCGTCGTAAGAACACTCTGTCCACTCCTACTACTGAGCCTTTTCAAGCATTCTCTGTTCAGTCTCAAGCACCTTTGCTCCCAACGCCTTATTCACAGGCCTTCGCTGCATATAATCAGCCTCTTCAATCTGCATCTCGTTACAATTCTAATAGAGGCCGGAACAATCGCAATTTCAGAGGAAATCGCAATTTTAGTAATTCACGTGGCAACTCCACTGGTCCTTATCGTCCAAATCAGCCTCGTGCCTTTCATTCAGGCTCCCGATCTCACAACCAAGGTTCTTCATCCAGTCACAAGACCACCTGTCAAATATGTGGTTCAACTAGCCATGAAGCAATTGATTGCTTTGACAGGATGAATCCTGAAATCTTTGGACGAGTGCCACCAGCCAAGCTTGCAGCTCTTTGTGCTCACTACTCATCCAAACCATCCCCATCTTGGCTATTGGATTCTGGAGCCACCTCACATATCACAAATGACATTGCAAATCTCTCTGTTGCCTCTCCTTACACTGGTGAAGACAAGGTCTATATAGGAGATGGTAAAGGTCTGCCTATTCACAATATTGGTACCTCTACTTTAGATACATCTCATACTTCTTTTAAGTTGAGTAATGTCTTACATGTACCTTCTATGAAACACAACTTATTATCTGCATATCAATTTTTAAAAGATAATAATTGTGCCTTGACTCTTGACCCTGATGGATCCACTGTAAAGGATCGAGTTTCGGGGAAGACGCTTTTGCGGGGACCAGTTAAAGATGGCTTCTATCCTCTTCAAGGCTCTGGTCATCCCACCTCTTCATCACCCTCGGCTTTAATAAGTGTCACAGCTCCTGTACAGATTTGGCATCGAAGATTGGGTCATCCATCTTCTTCTATTTTTCGAAAGGTTCTTTCAGGAAATAAGCTTGTTGTGCAAGGCAAACCTACTGGTGATATTTTCTGCTCAGATTGTGCTTTAGCTAAAAGTCACAAGCTTCCTTTTGCATCTGCCAGTTCTACAAGTAATCACAGTCTTCAACTACTACACTGTGATATTTGGGGTCCTGCCTCCATCATTTCTCCTAATGGCTTTAAGTACTACTTGTTGCTTGTAGATGATTACAGTAGATATAGTTGGTTTTTTCCATTAAAGGCAAAATCTGATGCCTATTCTACTTTTGTTGTATTCAAACACTATGTAGAAAATCTACTTGGCAATAAAATCAAGGTTGTGCATTCCGATTCAGGGGGTGAATTCATTGGTGCTAAGTTTGAGTCTTTTCTTCGCACTCATGGTATTCTTCATCGATTAACATGTCCTCACACTCCTGAACAAAATGGCTGTGCTGAGAGAAAGCACCGCCATATTGTGGAAACTGCTCGTACATTACTTGTTGCTTCTAATATTCCCCATCTCTATTGGGTGGAAGCCTTTTCTACGGCTGTGTATCTTATTAACAGGTTGCCAATCTCTGGCCTCTCTACCTCTCCTTGGGAATTACTCTTCTTCAAGCCACCAGATTACTCAAGATTGAAAGTATTTGGCTGTCGATGTTTCCCGTGGCTCAAACCTTATACTCATTCCAAGTTAGAAGCAAAAAGCAAAAGCTGTGTTTTTCTGGGGTACAGTTTACAGCACAAGGGTTATCGATGCCTTGATCCAGTCACTAATCGTCTCTACATTTCCAGACATGTGCAGTTTGATGAAGCAACATATCATTTTCAGTCTTCTCCTACCATTCATGTTATGTCTTCAGTCTTTGTCTCCGCCCCCATGGATCTACAGTTCTCGGTTCCTCAACGTCCTGGTGCCTCTCCTGGATCTTTGGTTCCAGAATTGCACTCTACCTCTGAGTGTTTTCCTTCAAGTCCGCACAATGTCATTCCTCAAGAGTCCATTCCTCCTACTGCTGCTCCAAGTACAGATTCTCTGTCTACTGCATCTGTCTCTTCCCCTGCACCAACTACATCACTGCCCCCTCCCAATACTCACCCTATGATCACTCGCTCCAAAGCTGGTATCTTCAAGCCCAAGGTATATGCAGCTACCAAACATCCTCTTCCATCTGATATTGACTATATTCCGACTACATATCTGCAAGCCTCTAAGCATGCTCATTGGAGATCTGCCATGCAAGATGAGTTTAATGCATTACAATCCACAGGCACCTGGACCCTTGTTCCTCCCTCATCCTCCTACAATGTTGTTGGCTGCAAGTGGGTGTTCAGAATCAAGAAGCATCCTAATGGTACTGTTGAGCGTTTTAAAGCTCGTTTGGTTGCAAAAGGGTATCATCAGCAGGAAGGTATCGATTTTCAAGAGACCTTCAGTCCTGTGGCTAAACCAGTCACGATTAGAATCATTTTGTCCCTTGCTGTGCAGTTCAATTGGTTTTTAAATCAGTTAGACATCAGTAATGCCTTTCTTCATGGAGATTTGAAGGAAGATGTGTACATGCAGCAGCCTCCGGGTTTCTCTGATCCCAATCTGCCACATCATGTCTGCAAATTAAGGAAATCTCTTTATGGTCTTAAGCAAGCCCCTCGGGCTTGGTTTGACAAACTGTTTCAAGCTCTTCTTCGACTTGGTTTTCAGCAATCTTCTTCTGATGCTTCCTTATTTGTTCTCCCTAGTCCTACTCCTGTCATGGTGCTTGTGTATGTAGATGATATATTAGTCACTGGACCTGACTCTTCCATATGCAATCTGTTCATTCAAAACCTCAGTGCTATCTTTCCAGTCAAGGATTTGGGTCCACTGCACTACTTCCTAGGTTTAGAGATTCAACGATCTTCCACAGGTCTCTTCCTCCATCAAACAAAGTATTTACTGGATCTTCTTGGGAAAACTAATATGGCTGGTGCAAAGCCTTGCTGCACTCCCCTTGGCTCTAACAAATTGGATCACAGTGGTCCTTTTTTATCCAATCCCACTGAGTATCGATCCATTGTTGGTGGTTTACAGTATTTGACATGGACACGTCCAGATATTTCATTTGCTGTGAATCAAATCTGTCAGTTCATGCATGCTCCTCGAGACCAACATATGCAAGCTGCCAAACGCATTCTTCGTTATCTCAAGGGTACAATCTCTGAGGGTCTATGGTTCAGAAAATGTGCACCTAATCTCACAGCCTTCTCCGATGCGGACTGGGCTGGCTGTCTCTTTGATCGCCGTTCTACTAGTGGTTATAATATCTTTCTGGGATCCAATCTTATCAGTTGGAGTGCCAAGAAACAAGCTACTGTGGCACGGTCATCCACAGAAGCCGAATACAGATCTCTAGCACACACTGCAGCTGAACTGACTTGGATTTGTACACAGGGATATATATAGTCACAAAGACTCTTACACAAGTGACCTTATCTTCTACAACTAATTACATAAATACCACAACTAACTATTTACTGTTGTAACTAACTTGTGACTGGTTTAGTTCTCTCAATACACCCCCTCAAGCTGAGCTTGGGAGCAGTTGAAGAACCAAGAGGAAGCTTGGATTTGAGAGCAGTAAATCGACTCTTGGACAGAGACTTGGTGTGGATGTCAGCAAGCTGATCCTGACTCTTACACAAGCGACCTTATCTTCTACAACTAATTACATAAATACCACAACTAACTATTTACTGTTGTAACTAACTTGTGACTGGTTTAGTTCTCTCAATACATAGTTCTTGCCCATACACACTTCAGTAAGAAGCAACTTTACAATGTATGTTACGCTAGAAGAGAAAAGAACAAATATGAGAGAAACAAGATCAGT